TTAGAAGTAGCATATTCCCTAGCTGGACAGGGGGTGAGCAAGAGGCTCAGAAGGGACCCTCTCTAATTTATTGGGGGGGAGGGGTAAAGGAGATGGGAGGAAACTTGTACTCTCAGACTTACAATATTCTGTTAATATAACCTTACAGTAAAATAGAATTAGCTCACTTGGTTATGTTTCCGGTTAAGGCTGACAGCTAGTATAAAATGTGCCATTTGTGCCATTGATGTTATACTGATAGTATGTCTTACATTTACGCTGAGATGAAAAGATTTGATTTTTTAAAATTCCAGACTGCATTTGAGTGTCCCGAAGGTGCTTTTCAAGAGGCAGCTGGACTTACTTTTTCAAGAGGCAACATGTGCTGCTTTCCAGAGGAAATACTGGCTGGGGGAAGAAGGAAACTCCTGATGGAGGCAGAATTTTAAAGAGATGCATTTAGAATCCAAAGAATCCAAAGCATCACACACATAATTGTCTCTATATTAGAGCCACATGAACCCACTAGTAATTCTCTGGGTGAGTTCTCCTGGGGTCCCAGAAGCAGCTTGTGTTTGTCGCACTAGGAAAGGAGAAGTTTGTGCCTAAGAAGCTTTTAGGACTGCATATAAGTTCCGCCAGTAGCCATGAGTTTGAAAGTAGCAGGAAGTATTGCAACAGCTAAAAGATTGCAAAGTGGCTAATGTGCTGTGCTAGAGAAATCTGAGGGGATAGAAATGATATCAGTCTGTAACCTGATACGAGTCTTAGTGAGCAAGTAGTGAACAACTATATAAGTAATATTCAAACTTCATATTTAGGAAGCAGACTCTGTTCCTCTGAGTAATCCATCTATATTTCAGTTTCAGTATTCGTGTCTAGGTACATTACTATTCCTGAGACAGTTTAGAGGATATCCAGAGAACAGCCATGAAAATATTTAAAGGAAATAAAGAAGGGAAAGGAAGGATGAAAAGTGTCACGTTTAGATTTTGTAAGCCTATTCAGGCCAGAAATAGCTATGGAGATGCCTTCATTGATTCCTAGGAGAGCTGGATTAAATATCTCTCATTTAACATCTTAACATCGTCCCAAGCAAAATGCTTTTTGGTTGTGGATGTAATCTTGGATAAAAAGTCCTGTCAACCTTGTCTTATTGAGTGGTATTGGATTTTATGTGTCTTCCTTATACTTACATTCATTTTATGTGGGTCCAGCAAAAGAGCAAATGTGGGATGGTGTTTCACTTTTAAAAAATGGGTGTTTTTACTAGAATGCTGGGTGTATTGAATATGAACCTTGCAGGATGGACATGAAAGTGTAAGAGCTTTACAAGGATTATATATCATGCATCAGGATGCACTGCAAGAAGACAAAGGTTTTCCATTGTTATTGGCTTCTTGCATCGATTTTTACCATAATATTGTTTTTGAATGTGGAGATTTTATATATATATATTGCTAATAAATAAATGAAGGGAGACTAGCATAGATCTATTTCAAGCTATTTAGCTGTCATTTAGCTGGGATTTGAACTTGGGCTATTTTACATGTTAGGCAGTTATAATAACCTCTAAGCCACAAGCTTTCCTCCCTTATCAGCTGAGCAAGGGGAATGATTAGATGTTTTGTCAAGGCACCTGGTATGCCCAAATATGGGAGGGAACATACTGCTTCCCTTTTATTTATTTATTTATATATGCATGCATCGCAGAACACAAGAACGCAGTAAGAAAAAAAGAAAAAAACTTCCTCCCTTTTCCAGCACCTTAAAGCTACAGGACATGAAATTAATTTTGAAGGAACCAGGTTAATCTCCAAAACTGAACACTTCAACAAGAGAATAATGGAAGCTATCGAAATAGAGAAACACCCCCACAACATGAATAAACGTGACGATACCTCCCACCTACCAGACATCTGGAAACCAGCCCTGGTAAACAAATGAGCCCCACCCACCACCCAGGCCATTACAACACGAAACAACAATAGACACACAGCCAGCACCAATCAGCACCAATCTACCAATCATTATTCAGCCACACATCCAATCAATCCACTTACTGAAACAAAGCCAGCACTCCACACACCCCCACCCTCCACTAAGATTTATAGAAAGACGGA